ATACTTGTACTTCATCAACTTAACTGGAATAGGACAAATAAAGTTTTTACACCATGCCGCCTGACAGTCTCGAATGCCTTATTATTAAATAATAAATAAGCACAGTATTTGATTGCAATGCCAAGTATAACTTTGCTTCTTCGGCAATCAGACAACATAAAATCGGATATAGGAGAGGTTTGGGCTTACCTGGAATTCACTTCTGCCCTGTTATCTAAGAGTCCCCGTAGCAATATGTCGTAGTGCTTCAGTACTAGGTTTCGACTCCCGCTATATGGAATTCAATAGAAATATGGGGCCTACTACAGTATTGTAGGAAAATTCAACTATCATTCCTTTATCACCTTAATTGAAATTGGATTGATACATAAATATATCAAATTGGTAAAAGTTCTAAGACTTGGAGTTCATTAGTTACACAATTTTATTGCATGCTATTTTTACTTAATTCTAAGTTATATGGAGAAAAGATACAAAATTCATAGGTTATAGAGATCGGACAGCATGTTTTTTTCTGATCGAACTTTCACTAATTAGTAAACAAGAAGAGAATATTGTGTAATCTTAAAACAAGCAATTCTGGAACGTTATCTGGGTAAAGCTTTGCAGGATAAGTATTGGTACTACCACGACATTTTTGTGCCCTTAACTTGAAATGGTATCACTAGACTGGAGCCTATAATCAATAATTGACTAAGTCTATCTTTTGTTAAAAGTTATCCAGTAATTGATTCTACAGATGCCTGATTTTATAAGTGAAAACCTCCTAAATAAATTATTGATGGCTACCGAAATAGAATACACGAAACAATGAAAACTCAGGATCATATTTTAAGTTTCATGGTTGGAAATAAAAACATAATTAATATATCAATAATATGCCTAAGAAGTTACATCGTATGTGATTCTTATTCATGCCATAAAAACGTTGCAGCATATCTGCATATCAAAGCTGAACACTATAAAACTTAGCTTCTGCTTGTTCACGTAGCCTTTATTTAACAAAATCAAAATCAATGTAACATTAATAAACTGCTGTAACGTCATGTCGACTGTCTCAAGACTT